ACCATGCCACTTGTCGGGCTGGCTCAGTTGCTAACACTCTTGCCTCCGAATCAGAAACTTGTGAGAGCAAGCCCCACTTTAGGACTTGATACTGATTCTCCAATTCAGAGCTGGGGGTGTGTTGCATTTTGAAAGTTCTGTCCTTCTGAGGAGACGTTAAACCCAGTTCCCTGTTGGACTGTTTAGGTGGACATTAAATATCCCATGGAACTATTCAAAAAGAAAAGGGAATTTCTCCTGATTCCTGGCCAACAATCCCCGAGGTAAAATTGGTCACTCTTATCGTGGTAGTTGTGTGGATTCACATTGCTGTGTGCATTGGGCTCATGCGTTCATCTACAAATACGTAGTCACTCCACTTCACAGTAAATCCTGTCAAGCACTTTGAGACATCCTCCAGATGTGAAAGGTGCTATATCAACCAGAATGATTATCATTATTAATCACAAGGGAGGAAGCAGGGCATGCTGAACCACTGGCTTTTCACATCTCTGTAAGTGCTTCCCTGTAATTGCTGGAGGGATGTGAACTTCAGCTGGTCAGGTCTTCTCCTGCCATCTTTTCCTTCCCCTGGAGATGGAGCTCTCTCCTGCTGTAAAGTGCTCAGAACAAATGAAAGTTCACACTCACTGAGGGAATTGAGTTCAACTAGCAGTCAAGTCCATTGAGCTCTGGGACGCTACGGTGCGTGAGGGACACTGTATAAATGCAAGTTGTTGTTGTTTGTATTTGGCAGTCATTAATCTCTGAGTATTTGATAGGGGTGATATCTGTGATATTTCATGCCTTGTGATACTTATCACAATCTCCTCTTTTTTAATTTCGCAGATCCCAAGCTCATTCTCTTTCTCTCCCTCTTTCAGCTATACAACCACTGTAACACAGTATTGTTTAGTATTCGCAGACACAGCGATGAACTCTTCTGTTATGAAGGGTGTTCGCCATACCTTCAGAGGCTTTTTAAAAAAACAAGTAGAACTTTCTTAACAGGGAAGGTAAGCGGTGTCTCCTTGGAGCTAACTCCAAGGAACATGTTTGGCAATGGAATGTCCAAATCCCTCTATACCGGTCTCAGTAGTTCAGTTCCTGAGCCAGATGAGTATGCAATATTCCAGGGCACTGCTGGCTGGCTCATCAGCAGGATTTGGGATGGGAGAACACTGTCACTCGGGGCAGGAATTCTTCCCACTCAAGCCAAAGCCCTAATGGTGCAGTGGTCCCAGCTCATCCACAGCGGGAAAGCTTGCCAGCCGGTACTCTCAATGACAATTCATGTGGTTTTAGCTGGTTAAACTCCAGCAGTACACCAACACACACTCTGGGGTCCCTAGAACTCTCAGTTTGGATTGGATACTCTTAAGCATGGTGATGTGTGACTGTATGGGGACACCCAGCTGACCAAAATAAATTGAGGATGGTGAGACTGATAAAAATAAAGTGCACTTTTATGGAAAAGTATGAGTAACTTAGTAATGGTCATCTGAGAGGAACCAGCAGAGAATCGTTTGAAGCAAAATGTTGGCATTTCCCCATTCTGTAGAAATATTCACTTTCTGCTTGGCACAGTATCTGTTTCAAAAGAAGCAATTATTTTGGATGTGTAGCTTACCTAAAACTCCCCAACACATCCTGTTAAATAAGGTAAAAAAAATCACAACTGTGATGAGAAGAAAGTAACTTACAAAATGGGGTCACCACAAACGATGTTTCACAAAATCACCAGAAAGGTTCGAATGAAGAAGACCCTTCAGCCCATTTGATCTTATCCTATCAGAAAACCCATCCTAACGTCTTCCCATTGTCACGTAAAACTTCTTTTTAATGAGTCCAGCGTCCGGGCCTCAAAACGCTTCCTGTAACTTGTTCCCAGAGATTGATTACCCTCTGGGTAAACAAAAACTTCCTGGTATCTGTACTGAAACTGCCTTTTACAATCCTAAAGGTCATTACGGTGGTATTTCTTTGTGAGGAATTGATAAAATCCAAAGGAACAAGGTGTCATCCAGCTATATGCATGCACGAAGAACATGTTAATTGTTATACAAAAAGGTGAGGTTGAAAGATCATGCATTTAAACAGCTCCAGTACTTGATGAAAGTGGATAAACCCTTCCGCGTAGTTTTCATGTTGCGGTGCTTATAGAAACCACTGAGAGCAAGACAACATTGATTGGAACCTCAATCTGGGTTTGCATAAGCGCAGAAAAGGAAAAGGAAAAGCTAAGGTTTATATTACAACAGAATTTTTTAGATCAAAGGAGATTTGGTACACATTGGATACTATTATTGATTTATCCAAACAAATTAGAATGCAGTATTTTGTTTTAGTCAGCCGGGTTTCTGACACATGCAGAAACCCATCACCGTGCTTAAGAGTATCTAAATCAGATTGAGAGTTCCAATTATATATGCCACCTACACGTGGAAATATTCCTGTGTGGAATGCATACTCTCTCCTTGGAGGGGCACACCTTGCTTGGCTAATTTCAAAGAGTATGAGGCAAAGGTTGGCAAGAGCCCAAACTTGGAGACCCTAGAGTGTGTATTGAGGTACTGCTGGAGTTTAACCAGTTACAATCACAAAGCTTACCATTGCATGCACTGTCTGGCAAGCTGTCCCCTGCTATGGGACTATGGAGTCCAGGGTTAACAGGAGCTGAGTCCCTCCGCCTGTGTAGTCCTCCAAGTTCTGCTGATGTGCCAGGCTGGCTAGTCTGTCATCAGCAGTGCTCTGTAGTACTGTAAACCTGCCTAGCTCAGGAACCAGTCTACCGAGAACCAGCTTGGCTCCAAGAAGACCCCGCTTATCTATCCGTCCACCCCTCCTTTCCAGGAGTATATACATAGTCAACATAGTACCGCAGAAACCTTTTTGGTGTATATGGAAAAGATGTGACATTGGGGAGGGTGGGTGGCTGAATGATGGGCAAAGTGCCAATTAGTAAATTACTGCTCCTAAATTAAAATATATCTCAGCTTTTATTTCTGTACGGTTTTACATATTCTATAAACAATTAAATATTATAAATAATGAATAATCTTTGCATCTAAGTACTTAAAGACGGCCTCTTTAAACGTGAAAGGCGCTATATAAACTTTATTGTATTTGATGTAATGTTTTACCGCGTCAGCGAAGCCTCTCAAAGTACTTCACTGAATGTTTACGGTTAAGTGTAGTGACTGTGTATTTTGTGAGCGGAAAACCTACTCCGCTATTTAAAGTTACAAGCCACATGCTGGGAATTAAACTTAAGTGTTTTGTGATATGCACATAAACTGTTTATGGTTTGTCACTTTGAATGAGAACACGTTGTGGCCAGTGTGACCACAAGCCCAAACCAAGGCAAAGGGTCTGATAGGATGCTAGGACGCCATCTGTCGCCAAGGAAAAACACAACACCGTAAAATAAAAATAAAATCACAAACAATTCCACCTCCCACGTTAGCTAGAAAATGTTGCACCTTAACAAAAAAAAAGCATGTCATGTAAAGCAATCCATGCCCCCATGCACCAATCCCAAAATTAACGCTTTAAGCATCAGTCACTTCCCTGAGCAGCAAAGAAAATAAAAAGTGCTTTGTGCATTGCAAAGAACTGCAGGAAACATCCTCGATTTTTTTTTTAAAAAAGTGTGTTCTTAAAGCAATGCAGAGTGGAAACTCAGGAAAAAAGGTCTTGTCCAATACATGGGGTCACTGCAGCAGCTGTTTTGAGTGCATGATCTCTCAAATCACAATGTCGTGGACATCTATAAATCTATAAACTTTTTTTTTAGACCACCACACACACACACACTCCCAGTATATAGCTGGGAGCCACCTTTGGAAAGACAAAAAAAAAACTGGATGCAGCAGCAAAGATTCAGAGAGGGGATCAGGTTGCGTTCACGTGACTGAGTGCAATCCCAATGTATTCATGTTACAGGCACCATCTGGGAGCTTTGTCACAACTCCAGCCAACACTCCTGTTTAAACCTACTTTTCCCCATTCCCTCTCTCTTTCTTTCTTTTTTGCTTTCTCTCTCTCTCTCTCTCTGGCTGAAGGGCGAGACTCAGTGATTTGCTCACTCATCTGAACTTCAGATCTCTTTCTGATCTCTGTCTCTCTCTCTCTCTCTCTGCCACCAAAAAAAAAGCTGCAGGACGCCCCCAAAGGATTGGTTTTTTTTTACTGCTGGCAAGAAGCCAGAGAGAGAAAAAAAAACTTTTCTCACTCTCTTCCTTTCTTTCTCTCTCTCTCTCTCTCTCTCCCTTCCTCTGTCTGTCTTTCTTTCTCCCTCTCTCTCCACTGCAGTTGGATCAGCCCAAAGCGATTTACAGGGAGACATGCAGTTTTTTTTTAAAAAAAGAGAAGAGTTGAGTGTGTAGAGGAGAGGCACAGTGTGTTACTGTTCCTGAGATAGAGAGAGAGAGAGAGAGAGATAGAAAGAGAAAGAGACTGTAAAAAAGCAAAGCTGCTCAGACGATCTGAGAGACTTATTGCAGTTGTGATCCTCTCAAGAAGAGATGCATTTGTTGGACAGAAGAGGTGACTGACTGTGGGATCTCTCCCTCTCCCTCTCTCTCTCTCTCTCTCTTCCTTCCCCCCTCTCCTCTCTTTTTTTCCTCCTCCTCTCAGCTCCTAAGCAGCTGGTCGGCAAAGGTAAATCTCTACTATTGCAGAGGGATTGCTTTCAGCAAAGAGCATTGGAAGAAGGCAGAGCAGTGCAATTTGCTTCCCCCAACCCCACTCCCCCAACCAACCCCCAGCCCACTCCCCCTTTCCAAACTCCCCACTTCTCACTCTCTCTCTCTCTCTCTCTCTCAGTGAGGGAATGCACTGTATATAACGTGCTTTGAAACCTGGAAGCGCTACAGACAGACAGACAGACAGAACACATGAAAACATTTGGCACAGGAGCAAAGTGGGCAAGTGCTCTTCTTTACAAGAAAAGGCACTGATTTATTTATGCACCCCACCCCCACCCCCACCCCTCTCCCAGCGTTGACTTAAATTGCAGCTGATATCTGGAAGATGGTTGTGGAAAGTGTCTTGGCTTCAGAGTGAAGCACGACATGAGTTGCTGGGATCATCAGGACGTGTTTGAGTTTTAAACCTGACCATCACCATGAGCTGTGTGCACCTTTGGTTTGTTGTTGCTGCTGCTGCTGCTGCGTTGACCAGTTTGGTAACCTTGCCGCAGGAGAGTGAAGGTTGGTACATCTGACCATTTCCCAAGTTTTTAACGAGAACTGCAGTCCACGATGTAGTTTTTGTGCTTCTTTCTGGGGCTTCCCACAGCTATTGTTGGGGAGCCCAAAATTTTTTTTTTTTGCAGGCTACAGATTGTACTGTTGGCTGGCTAGGTCTGTTTGGATCATGCATGCATACGTTATTGCTGGTGTTAGTGGCTAAGACATATTTTCACAGTGACTCGTGATAGTTAATAATAACTAAAGCGCTTTAGCATCTCAAGAGCCCTCCCTGAGTCCAGACTAACCACCTCAGTGAGGCTCCTGCAAAATAGCGTGTGCTGTACAGGAAAATATTGTATGTAACCTAGTTTCGGAGTTGTGTCAATTATGTGAGGCTGCAATTTAATAAGTCCCTGATTTTTTTCCCCCTGATTTCCCCCCCACCCCCACTGTTTGTTTCATACCTGGTCATAGTTCTACGATTGCTGCCCCACTGAGAGATAGGAGAGCAATTGCATTATTCAATGGAAAGAAATTGTGATCATCCGAACTTCAGAGTCGTTGCAAGTGGTTCACCTTTATGGTTGTGTTCTTGTTGATGAGCTGTTGCTTCGTATATGCTTTGCATTAACGCTGCGGGCAGTGCAATAGCTACCAAATATGTCAGATGCCCTGATAACCTGTGTTTGCTCTTTCTGGACAAAGTCTTCACATCGAACCGCAGGGGAGAGTTGTAATGAGTTACTGCTGCTCATTCATAAATCGGTTGCCCCCCTTTCAAACCACCTTAAAAGGGCTAGGCTTCATTTGTGCCCACATATTTTGAGCCACTTATAAAGAATTGACGACCAATTTGCACTTAAGGGACATGCAGGGATTTGCAACCAGATTCCATGGCACTATTCGCAATGCACTGTCCCTGCATGTCCTGGCCAACAATCCCCCAAATAAAATTGGTCGCTCACGCCTTGGCTGCTTGCGGGTCAATTGGCTGCCCACAAAATACACAGTCACTCCACTTTACGGTATATCACGTGAAGCGCTTTGAGACGTCTCAAGGACGTGGTATCGCGCCATATCAAATCCAAGAATTATTATTGCAAGGAATGTTTTCGATGGAAATTTCAATAACTTTTCACAGGTGGGACCCACCCATGACAGCAACCGTTTTACAGTTTAATTTTTGTTCGCAGGGTTGATTAATTTGTAGAATTTAACCTTAATATTGTGCATTTTTGAATAATGTTTGAATAAAATATTGAAATACCATCAGAGGTAGATAATAGCCACTTTAAGAGATTGTAGCAGGGTGCAGGATGTAAGTGACAACATTACCAGGACTCTAGTCTAGTCACTGAGGTACACAGACCTCACCTCAATGACTAACTGAACCAGTTTATTTATGTTTATATATTTAGTTAGTTAGGGAGGTCCTTTTAATTGAATTGGAATAATGAAAGAAATTTAGAACAATTTGCTCTGCAACGTTTTCTTATTTATTGCCCAAATGTTTGTATTTTATTGGCCCCTTGGTAAACAGGATTCGCATTGTCTATTTCAGTGATTTCCAAGACACAGACTCTGTTGCTCTATCATTCTAATCTAATCCTAATCCTTGCATTTGATATAGCGCCTTACGTGTCTTCGAGACGTCTATCTAGCGTCTAGCACTATCTAATTGTAAAATAACAACAACCACCACAAAATACATTTGTATAGAACTTTTCACATCGGGGGTACAACCCAAGGTGCTGAACAGTCAGGGATTTGGATCCGAGTTGAGGGTAGGATCAGAGAAGGTTGATCTTTGATACTGTATATACTGAAGAAAGGGGGAGGTCCTCCTGATGTGAAAGGCGCTATATAAATGCAATTTGTTGTTTGTTTGTTGTTGTTATAGCCTATATACAAGATGGACACATTTTTCATGGCCCTCCGACTCTTAAATTTTTTACATGGTTTTACCAATGGATGTTTCAATTGCCCTGTTCAAAGTAAAAGTTTTCGAAGCTTATACGCTACTAAACTATAGAAGTCATGAGTTGATTGTGTTGATAAATTATTTGCTAATGCAACAGGGGAAGGGATTCCAACAATAGAGGCCTCTTTAGTTGTGGTTAATTTCAAAGACTAGACAATGGCTTGGTGGTGATTCCCCCTCAGCCAGCTGTTTTGTTTGGAAGAATAATGCAGATGTGATGTGAGCTGCATCACAAGTGCTGCTCTCAGGATATTAGAAAAAACCTTAACAGCGGCACAGCAATGTGCTTGTCACAGTCACCTCATCTGCCCAGTTTACTTGTTAACCACAGATTTTCGTCTTCATGGATGTTTTCTTGTTAATGTGCTGTTGCTTTATATATTTATTTTGAGGAATGCCTGTAGTTCGGACTACTTATAAATATATTGAATAAATATGCACTGGTGATTGGTTTTAGAATTATTGAAATTGGTCAAAATCATTCTCCAGGAAAGCCACACAAAAGTCTATTTTATGGCCATCATTGCAACAACAATAACTTGCATTTGTATAGTGACCCTCACGCAGGGGCCAGTAACAATCAGGTTATTTTAAGTCATGAAAATGGGACCAGGCCATTTGTTGGGAGAATGGTATATTTCTGAAATAAAATGTGATTTTTGTTCAATAACTCACTTACGTGCTGAAGTTGGGGGAGCGTGGACTCAGTATGCAGGAATCTCTTGTTATTGAGCCAGGTTTGTGTGTGGTAACGCTCTAAATATGAGCATGGAACAGACTGTAATCTTACAGTGATGATGAGACACAGCACAGCTCTTTGTGACATCAACGCTAAAATAATAACTAGTTTAGTATTTATATCCTTATATAACTGGAAATCTGAGAATGGCTGAAATTTAGTGAATATCCCTTGGTAATACCGTATAATGTGGACATGGTTCTCTAAAATCTATCCCACCGTTTGTTGTATCATCTGGGAATGATACTGAAACAATACAACTGAAACAATATTATGATTTTATAAATGTCAATATCAGACAATGAAGGACATGAATTCTCGGGCAAATCACTGTCTGCAATGACTACCATAAACATTACAAACCTCACCTGAAATTGAATAAAATCTTGTGTAACATTGAAACAGGTGTCACAAGATCAGATGCCAGGTAGCCACTTCAAAGCCATAATCTAATCTAGAGATCACCTTCTCATGGCTTTCAATACCATCCAAATCCCTTCTTTCTATTATTCTCTTGTAATCATTGTCAGAGATCTGTTAGTCTCAGTAAATATATATACTGAATGGTGATCAACTGTTACTCTGATCATGCAGTGATTGCAGTGTACATTTTGAACTCTTAGTGTGAGGGTTGACACTTAAATAACAAATCGTGGGTACCATTGTTTGTTATAACACCAATCTCATATATATAAAGAAAAGTTCTAAACACTTTACAACTCAGTCATTCAAAATTGTGTGAGGTTGATTTTGTGGTTGTTTACTCACCAAGCTTCAGAGGCCAATTATTAACCATCTGAACTATGCTATTATCCTTTTATTTTATCACCTAAATCCCTCAATGAAGATGGTGCCTTGTAATCTTTCTTTTGTACCTATTACTCTAGATATAACCTTAGAAACACAACCATACTAACATTTATCTCTGATAGTAGAACAATGAAATATGTAATGTACAGTAAGCTTCTGAAAACTCATCACTCCAAGCAAAAAGGACTTAGTAATGAGTTATCAGGAGTGGCGAATTAGGCATATGTATAAATGCATAAATAAATGCGACTGGGATATTGACAACGCAATGACTTAAGTGGTAGTGGCAAGTTAAGCCAGGGTCGAGTTATCAGGATAAAAGTTAGCTTTGTATTGCAAAGTTCAACATGTTACAAAATCATGAAGCACAAGAGCAAAGCTTAAGTGCTCTGTATGGCTCCTGAGTTCCTTAAGTTATGTTATAGGGCAGTAAATAAATATTCTCAGTGTTTTTTTCAATATTATACAGCATCTTTCACTTTGGGAGCACATTTCAAAATGCTTCACACAACTGACCGGGAGCTCAATCTGTGGGGTGAGCTGAGGATGGGGAATTGGGTGGGGAGTGCAGTCAAAAAGATTTTAAAGGTTTTAAAGGCAAGGAAGTAGGGGAAGTAGTGGATGCACTCCAAGATGGTTTTTCAGAGAGTAGAGGCAGAATGTCTAAAAGTTGGCCATCAATGGTCATTCAGAGACCATGGAGCAGTCTGAATCTAGAAGAGTTCCAAATATTACAGAACTAAATAATTCAACAGAAATCCGCGTAACATTGCTTAAAAGTTATTTTGTTGTTAATCTTTAACGACAGTACTTTTTATTCCATTGCATCAGTCACATAGTTACATAGTCGAATGTGCAAAAGCTTGAATTCGCAGTGCAGACAATAAAGTGCCTGAAGTAATAGAAACTGTTGCTAGCCTGACTGGCTGGACATTTCAAGGGCAAAAGGAAGAGCAGTCACGTTACACAGGTGAACCTCATTTGTTTTGAGTCGAACCTGGGTGTTTATATTTATCAAGAAGAATTAGCTGAGTTTAATGATAAGCCTTAGTTTCATATAGCACATTTCACACCATAAGGACATCCCAAAGAGCTTCACAGGATGTCCTGTAAAATGTAGTAACTTTGTGTTTTGTGGATGGAGACAGCAGCCAATTTATGCATGAACAGTTGGGGATTTGTCAGCCAGGACATAGGGAGAAACTTCTTTTTTTTAAATAACACTATCGGATCTTTAACATCCAGACAGGCAGGGCTCCATTTTAACTACTCATCCAAAGGATAACCCCTTCAATAATGCAGCACCACATTAGAGTGTCACATTAGACTATATGAGCTCCAAGTCCTAATGTGGCCTTGAGCCCCCAGCCTTCTGACTCAGAGGTGAGAGTGCTGCCAAACAAGCCAGCCTTACACCTGAGAAGTATGTGCAATGTGGTCCATCAGATTTTGGGAATTCGCGTGAAGACGCATGAAAGGTGTTTGACTCCACAACATTGGTTATGCGGGTGAAGTGCCAATGGGGTTTGACGCATCAGAAAACAGATAGTGAATCAGCAAAGGATCAGTCTATGACAGTATTTAGAAATAAATCCAGGTGCATTGTAGTCACTGCACAATGGCGGGGGTAGCATGATGAGCAAGGAAGAAGAGGCTGTTTTTCAGGTGGGAATTAAAGATCGAAAAAGTGAGGCAGAGGAGGAAGGGTTTAGGTAGGGAGTACTAGAGATTCGGGCTATAGTATCTGAAGGTACTGCATCATCTTTCATAATGCATGTAATTTCTTTCCAAGTTTTCTCTCCACTTCTGAAGACAGTGAATAATGCTGGGTACAGTCAGCTCAGGGTAATAACCAACTTACTTATGTGCTAAGATGTAACGCTAATTTTAATAATTAGAAGAGTTGATGCTTGAGTGGTTTGAGATGACCTGGCCTCAGTTGAAGGAGGAATTTTAATCCCTGAGCTCTTTAGACACCGGACTATATGTAACATCAAATATTTGACAGTGTTGAAAGTAAAAGTGCTGTATAGCAAAGAAATGCAACATCACCTGCAATAACTGGAAGCCCAACCAACCTTGTGCAGGCCCCAGATACTGCAGTTAATAAGGTCTTCAAGAAGCCATGGGAAACCTGCACATCTGACAGTCTATCTGCCTTCACTATGGACTGATGGCCCAACCGAGATCAGCAAACAGCATAGACAGGGACCGAAACTGTCCTCAGTTCACAGGAGACCACAGTGTATAAGGCTCTGTTATTCAGCACATTCATTGATCCATCAGAGGAAGCTCTGTTTTCTTTCATTTGATATAAAATAATGCTCTATCAGGGCAAACCAGGCCATGGGGACCAGATGGTGGAGTATTTTAGCATTTTGGCCTTTCACCTCTGGGATTTAAGACTCAAATCTACCCCACATTGATGTGGTGAACGCATTATTTTCTGTTACCTGAAGGGCTGTTAGTAAAAGGGTGGTGAGACATTTGATCTGTAACAGTACGATGTTTGACCTGGAAGTGCTGGATCCTGATTAATTGCGCAACGTGAGAATGTGTCCATTTCCCAATACTGTAATAACATCCCTTACCGTGCGGAAAATTGAGGCAAAATAAGATGATAAGAGCATCTTGGTTGTAATCTGTGCCGTTCACCAACATACTCCCTTAAAAAACAAGAAATAACTAGGAATATTAAGGTGGGGGGAAAACTTTGCTGAACCTTTCAGTTTGTTTTCTAGCCCTGATTATTATTTCAACATGATAAGGGAGAAGCCATTCTAATTTAAAAAGATAAACATATTATTGAAGGGAATTTAGATTTGAGCTCTTTGAAAATATCTAATCTGTTTTTCTTTTTTGAAAAAAAACAGAGAATTGATTGTTTTGTTTTCTCTCTTCGCAGGTGTGTGTGTCTACCAGGGATCATTCTTTGCGGTATGTTGAAAATTTACAAGCTGTTTTAAATAATTGTATTTTATTATATGTCTGTGATGGTAACTGTGATGAAATGTGGTTCCAATACTGGTTTTAGACTGGAGTCTAATATGATTAGATTCACAACAAGAGTTGCTAATAGCATTAACAACTTCTGACCTGAATTTCTTCCTATAGGACCCCAATGTAATAACGAGATTTAAAAAAATGCTTGCATTATGACATAAGATTGAACAGTTTAAATTGTGGAAAAAATTCACAAGGATAAAAGTAAGAAAAAATTGAATATTTTATTCATAAAAGTAACATAATAAAGAAACTCTTACAGCATGCAACGTAAAAATTAGGCTTGTATTATGAATTTACTTATACACATTTTGGAATGAATAATTCTCTTACTAGTTCACTTCAATAAGAATATAAATGGTTTTCTGTATGTAACTGTTGTGAGGTGTGAAATGAACTGCTAATGTTTGCCAAAATACCTATAATTTGGTTTGAAATGATGCCTTACTGTGTAGAGGAGAGCATGGTTTTAATTTAATTCAAGCCCTCCTCCACCAAGCCACTGTTATCTTACTAATTAGAGACCCTTTCACTTTAATTTATGCATGCAATCTTTACATAACACTCTGAGGAATATTACCTTGAAGTACACAATATTGTTTTCAGTGTTGAACTGGAATGGAAGTCCTAAGGAGTGATATTGTCAAACTCCATGCAATTTGCTTATACGAAGCAAGTTCAGGGGATCACATTCACCACATCACATATATACAAGGCTGGAATTTAAATTCTTTGTTGGTTTCCCCCAATTTTGCTCTTGACTATCAATGTCACTAGCAACTGTCTTTTATATGGTGAGGTCTCGCACAAGGAGAGCAATATAATATTGTACAGAGGCACAGCACAAACATCAATAAATTGCATTTATGTAGCACTGTTCATGGCAGGTAGGCGCTCCAAGGCACTACCTATGAGGAATTTTGTTACTGACCACATTGGGGTGGGAAGTTGTTTATGCTAGTGCACTGATGGCAGATCTGTGAATGCCAAAACCACAAGTTTTTACCAATTGTAAAAGTTTATTAAGAATCTTAAACAAGCAGTGCTCCATGTTAGTTATGTCAATACAGTATTAGGCAGAGCTTTTGTCAGTGACAGAAATTGAATTCCACAACATTTCAGTTGACCCCACAAGTTTGTCTTTTTCTGATATTTCCTGAATTCTTTACCTTCCCAAAAATAGGGCGTGGGCTGTTATCATTTCCATCCCTGGGTAGGAACACTGATTAACAAAGCTCACAATGAGTTAGTGGATGCCCTTCTTATTGAATTAAATAAACAATTTTTGCACAATTTTTAAAACATTTTTAATACTTGTTTGTAAGATTAAATTTCCTTTTCTTTATTTTTTTCATCAATGAAAATCATAGATTTTAAATAATCTTTGACCAAACTATAGGTTTGAGATCATCTTTGAACCACATTAACATTAACAATTCGCCTCAAGTTCACTGACTGTGGTCAATTTGCTAATGTGGTCAGTTTTTTTTGCAGTACTATATAGTACAATAATACAAGCTTGCTAATGATCAAAATTCCACAGTCTGTTTGGTGACCATATTAGTGAGCTTCCACTGAAGTTGTGTTGCTGATGGCAGTGAAAGTGTGTGTAGCGAATATTATCAATATAGTAAAACATCTGACTTGCATTTACATGTTAAATTCAGTTTCAGATGATAGAATGTATCTTTCATTATTCTTATACAATAGATGAATACAACGCTTTAAAAAGCACTGACACAATATATCACCAGAAGAGACACACCAGCATGGCTTTATGTTGCTGCTTAATGTTTGTCAACGTACTGTTTGAGTTTCCAAGTCTCAGCAACCCTTTAGGTAGTATCGAAGTCCTTATCTTGCTCTGTCTCTCATCTTTATAATATTTTACATGTAACTTAGTTATAATATCATCTAATTAAGAGGTTAAACAAAATCTAGATGCTAAGGTTTGGGAAAGATTGAATATTTAATTTTGCACCAGGCCCTAGAACCTACATCACTGAATAACACTGGTGTAGACGGTTTTGAGGATAGAGAGAACTCTGTGCAAGGTCCGATAAAGTGCTATACAGCAGAGCTTGCAATCTTTCAGTACATAGGTTAGGAATCAGAAAATGAAATGGTTGTTGGTTGGTTGTTCACACTAGAAACCCATCACCATGCTTAAGAGTATTCAAACCAGATTGCTCAACTCTTCCAAGATTGCACAGGAAGCAGATATCATCAGCATTCATCAGGGGCTATCCTCTTTGTCATTAATTCATGAACCCCTTTTACATTACCTTCTCCTTGTTTAAAATTCTTTCACCCGCTTTAAGACTCCTCGTAACACCATTGAATAGAGGATGGGCAGGTGAACTGCTCCCAGTTCTGCCCACAGAGCTCTGTACGTGGCAGGTGCACAGCAACAGCCTACGGTGACTTCTCTTCAGTATTCCCCTAGTAATGCAGAAGAGCCTAAATATATATTTGAATCCCATTAAAAGTGTCTTATGATGTTAGTGCAGTTTTTTTTATGTTAAACATCAAAGCTGTGTTAAAATACTAACATGATCCAGAGTTGATTATATAATGAGGCTTTGCCATCACATACAGCTTTGACATTAAATCAACAGGAGAATACATATTAAATACAGAATTTAAATCCCAGCAGCTGATGTTCATTCGGTGTTTGACTAGACACTTTACCAACCTGCCCGCTCCACCAAAGGCCTTCAGCCTTTCTACCCCACCCTCTGGAATTCCATCTGGAAAGCCCTTCTGCTTCGCCCCTCCCTTGCCTCCTTCAAGGCCTATCTCAAGCCTTTCCTCTTTGACCGTGCCTTTGGTCATCCTCCAGCCTTCTTTACTCCAACCCCAGTTTGGATGCAAACTCTTCACTGTCCTGTGCCTTGGGTCGCCCTCTCAACATGAAAGGCGCTATATAAATGCAATTTGTTGATGTAATTTTATAATTGAATGTCATATCATTGAAAGCGCTATTGAGGTGTCTTTGAAGGCTGGAGAATTGATAGCAGGTTCCACTGATTCCCCGTTTGAAACATGGAGCCCTTTACCAGCTTTCAGTTATTCAAAGACTCCGTGTTTCAAAGAGCAGGATCTTTCATCACCCCTGGGCTGATCCTCTGCACAGAGATATTTGCAGGTTTTCCAGAGTACTTTCTGTAGGTATTAGTTTTCAGGCACTAATTACCTGTGACTGAAGTTCAAGGATGAAACATGGACATTTTGGTTGATTTCCAAGTAATAAGTGAGCACATAGTCTGCGGAATGATCGTGCTAAATGTGAGCTTCCAAAAGACCATCTGTTTTGTTTGGTCCTGATAATGGTGTTTTCCTCTCCAAATAGTTTTAGTGAGGATCAGCACTGCTGTACTATACAGCATAGTCTTTGAAGATCGTGTTAACTTTTATCTGCTCAAGTATTTGAATCCATAGTTTATCCAATGAGCATCTTTGCTTTGGGAAAGAAAATAATACATCAAAACTTTCTTTAAATTCTTACAAAGAGCAAATGACTATTTTTGAAAGCTCCAATGTATTATCTTACATCAAAATTTATATTTTCTATTTTACATAAAAGGATCAGATCTACTTTATCCAATGCTTTTTAATGTACCATTATTATGCACAAGTTTTATATTTTGTTTGTGATAAGGGTTATCATAGAAGGAAAAAATTTATGTTTTTTATCACAAATTGAATTCCTCCACCAAAATAAATTGTAGATCATTAAGTACAGGCATATGGAAAATAGCAGAACTTTTGATCCTTTAGTTGATTGTACTGAAGCCTGGCGGCTGGAACCAATTATTCTGATCAATGTGTATTGGGGAAAGAGACCTTGATTGATTCTCAAAACAAATGTTGTACATCTTTGTAGGTAAAAGAGTGAGAATTAAATAGATTCTGTTAGATTTGATGCAGCACATTAAGAACATCTCACAATAGTTCACAACGTTTCTGTGAAGTGTAGTGATGGTACATTTATTGACGAACTCCTTGGTTACTTTACACATTGGAACTGAGAATGGTTCTGTGATAGCCGGACTTCACATATGCAGTATAATCTTTGGAGACTCAGTAGGCTAAGGCAGCCTGGGTGGTAATCTATATTCTGTTTTCCTTGAAGCTGTCTCCAATATTATAATGGATGAAAATGTACAAATCTGCATCTGTGAATTTAGAGCTGATTTAGGACTAGAATTGAAAGTGGAACCAAACTTAGATTCTGAAACTAGAATTTGGTGAACGAATTCAGCAGTCATTCGGGCCCACATTGTTGCCGCACTTGCCTACAAAGAACACAGCTACTGCTCTTCACGGCAAATCCTGTGAAGCTCCTTGAAATGTTTCAAGGACGTGATAATCATTCTGAGTCTCTCCGCTTCACCCTTCCCTCCCCACCTTCAAAAAACACTTTAAAACCTAACTTTTTGACACCACCCCCCTCCCCGATCGGTCTGCCTTTCAGCTGTATGAAGCACTTTGAGACGTCCTCTGTGTGAAAGTTGCTATATAAATGTAAATTACTTTTGATAAGTTGAATTTATGCTACCGAAAGAAGCTGCTTTGTTTCTAGAGTACAAGTGTGGTTGTGCAGAAAGCCTGAGAGGTAACAATCAGTTCAAAAGAGCTGATGACTATCATTGTTTTTTGAATTCTCAACAAAGCTTTCCGACAAACAATAAAACAAACATGGCATTCATTCTTGAGTGGCTAAGTTGTTTTTCACATGGCGAGGCATGATTAGTAGCTAATCTGGTACATAGTTGTTCCTTGTCAAGCGGGTAATCAAGAGAGAGATGAAGGCAAGGAAAGCTCATCTGCTCTTGAGCAGGTGGAACTAAAACATGTCTTAACACAAACAGGACGCAGACAGTTATTGTACATCAAAGACAACAAAATGGCAGTGACAGATGTTAACACCT